CTGCTAAGCTTTTCCAGCATCTGCAGTTCCTACTATCTGCTGGAAAAGCTTAGCAGGTCTGGCAGCATCTGTGAAGAAAAAATAACAGAGTTAATGTTTCGGGTCCGGTGACCCTTCCTCAGAACAGAGGGAGCGTCACTGGACCCGAAACGTTAATGCTGTTTTTCTTTCTTCACAGATGCTGCCAAACTGCAAAGGGTACTGCACATCTTAACTGAGTAATAATAAAAGACTGAAAGCACATGGGAAATTTGAGTTGTAACATCTTTACGTAAGGGCAACTACACTGGATTCAGAAAGATTGACAAGGAGAGGGAATCAGGTACGTAACTTTTAAAAAAGCCAATGTTAAGTAAAGCTTGGGTAAGCAGATTTAAACCTGGTGATGTCTGATTGGATAGTTTGATGCTAATACTCTTTAGACTGGTGAAAGGCAGGTGATTATGTAATGGACAGGGAAGAAGGAAAAAAAATCTTAACTAACTTCTCAGAAGAAACAGCTACATAGCCAAAGTAAAATGTTCGGTTGGGTGATCAATAGCTTGGCAGAACAAGATAAATTTTAAAACAGTCGCAGAAGAAAAAATGGGCTGAGTGAGGAAATTCCACAGCTTGGTGAACATATGGCTAAAGGTCAGCTTTGTGACTGCTCCTTGTTCATTATGGGTGCTGCATTAAAACATGATCAAGCTCAACTGGAATAGCCAAACGATAGAACTTGCTTAGATTTCTAGATATATGATGCTACCTTAATTGATATTCAAATGTTAAGAAAATTAGTTGAAGTGCCCAACTAAGAAACCCATCAAACAATATGCCAGAGAAATATTAAAGGACTTTTTTTAAAAATGTACATTTCAAGACTTCGGTTTCATAATATTTTAGGTACAAGCATAGCAAACAGACCAGATATGAATTTTTACCATTTCAAATGTAACACCCCAGTCAGTGCCAGAAACATCAACTGCAGCCATCTGTGCATGAACTTAACCAGGGATACATGTCTTTCAGATATAAAACCAAAATATTAGGTATTCAGGCCACTGCCGTTTCTTATCCCAGGAGAATATATTTCAATTCAACTGTAGTTTCATTCAACTGCTACATTTGATCTCAAACACAACCAGACTAGAACTGAACATACCAAGGGAATGGCACTTACCTTTACATTTAGTTACAAATCGGGCCTTTTCAAGTGGACGGTTGAACCTGATACAGATCTGAGTCATTTGTGGGAAAACTGAACCTGATCTGAATTTGCCATTCCACCTTAAGAAAACAACAAAAAAAAAAAATGCAATACATTCCTTCTGACTAAAATTAAGTCATTTTCTGCTGAAGTAATTTTTTATTCCATCAGTTAAAACATCCTGCTTGTTGCTACTGCTCATAAAAGTCAGTAAGTTTCACCACAGGCTATTACTTTTATTTAATTAGAAAACCTCAACATTCACATGCATTTTTCTTTCAAGGAATGCAAGTCTATTCCCAAAACTTCTATCACTTCTTGCATTTTCAAGCATCCAAAAAGTCCACACTTTCATAGAACATAGAACAGCACAGTACAGGCCCTTCGGCCCAAAATGTTGTGCCAACCTGTTATCCTACTCTAAGATCAAACTAACCTGCATACCCTACATTTTACTATCATTTATGTGCCTACCCAAGAGTTGCTTAAATGTCCCTAATGTATCTGACTCCACTACCACTGCCAGCAGCGCATACCACGCACCCACCATTCTCTTTGTAAAGAACCTACCTCTGACATCGCCCCTATAACTTCCTCCGATCACCTTAAAATTATGCCCCCTCATAATAGTCATTTCTGCCCTGGCTACATTAACCTTTCCTCATAAGACCCGCCCTCTATTCCAGGCAGCATCCTGAAAAATTTTCTCTGCAGCCCGTCTAAAGCTTCCACATCATTCCTATAATGAGGCGACCAGAGCTGAACACAAATAAACACAAAACCAGGGTTTTATAGAGCTGCAGCATAACCTCGCGGCTCTTAAACTCAATTCCCCTGCCAATGAAACCCAACACACCAAGCGCCTTCTTAACAATCCTATCAACTTGGGTAGCAACTTTGAGGGATCTATGGACGTGGACCCCAAATCCCTCTGTTCTTCCACACTGCTGAGAATCCTGCCATTAACCCTTCATTTGCTCAGGCTGAGTTTGATTCTTTTTTCATGTCAGCACCTCAAGAAACATAAAGCATTGAACCGGATAGAATTTTATCTCATGCTTACCAACCAGGAAACATCAAATATCGTGCTCTCAACATTGAGGGCTCTGAAAAACTGTTTTCAGACAAAATCATTTCAACATCAGCATTCCTGTATTTTGGGAAAAAGGATAAGAAATAGGGTAAAAGATAAGTATTTTATGAGGGAGATTAGTTGCCTGACAGATTGTTGAATTCATGCAGTACAGTTTTTTTCAGTTGGAGAAATTAAAGGCAAGTCTTGCACATCCCATTCAATCACTCCTTCAGATTCATTAATATTGTATCCATTTCACTTACTTATCAAAACAAAAGGAGCTCATGGCCCTACTCTTCAAGCATTGTTTAGTGGAGGCAAAGGGGGTTTCGCTGGCTAGCTAGAGAATCAATCAGAGTCTTGCGTCACCACTTTTTGAGAAGGCTTCCTGCATCACATGTCCCTTGGGCAGAAGATGGCCTTCCTGGGAGTCAAAGACCCTGGAAGCACAGGTCACTGGTTCCAAAAAATGCTGGCCAATCAGACAGCAAGGGGAGGGAATGTGACTTGTATCATCAGCACTCCCCTCCCACCTCAACTTCCCAACATCAGGTTCCTCGATCAGACACCAAGTGTTTTTGAGCAAGGAACTCTCACCCTAGCAGCAAGGAATTTTCAGCCTGGAAGCCAGAAAGCAAACATGCCAGCATTTTCTCATGTTCTCCATATGACAGGCCTCATCCTGACATCGGTATTAATTGCCACCTTAAGGGGCTGATTGGCAGTAGAAGAGGAATTCTGTGCTTGGGACCTTTCTGCCACGGATTTATCTGAGCAGAGGTGCGAAGGTGGTGGAGTCCTCACATTACTGCTGGTTTAAACGCCTCCCTGCCAATGAACTCACAAAGAGGGCACTGTGTTCTGCCTGTCATGTAGAATAAATTAAACTTTTAAAAATTATTCATTTATGGAATGTGGATTCATTAGCTAAGCAAGCACAATCCCTAGTTGTCCTCAAGGTGGTGGTGGTGAACTGTCTTCCTGAAGCCATGAGTCCATTTGGATTAGGTAGACCCACAATGCCATTAGGGAGGATATTCTAGGATTGTGACCCAGTGACACTAAAGCAATAGTAATATATTTCCATGTCAGGATGGTGAATGGCTTGGAAGGGAGCATGAAGGTGAAGGTGGTGTTCTCATGTATCTGCTGCCCTTATCCCTTTCGATGGTAGTGGTTTGGAAGGTATTGTCTAAGATGCTTTGGCAAATTCTTTGCAGTGCATTTTGCTGACGCTACACTCTGCTGCTACTGGTATCCATGGTAGAGAGAATGAATGTGTGGAGGTGGGGGGGATGGGAAATTAATTCAGAATTAGTCATGAACAGAAATGTCAAACTGGCTTTTAACGTGGAAGTTGCAAGGCATTTTTGCTTGGAATTAACTTCATAGATTATTTTTAAATGTATTCCTCTACAACTGTACACAAGGAATTTTTATTATTATTCATTGTATGTGTCCCTTGAATTAATGTAGAAATTCAAAAAAAGATATTGAGCAGCAATTGAGTACCTGGTCACTGCTCCCTTTTCTGCAAGAATGAATCCAATGTTGGGATTTGCTACACGAATTAACTTCTGCAGATGCATCAAAAGTGGATGTCTTTGCTCTGAAGTCAAGCTTGTAAAAACAACATTACTGACCAAGCCTACAGAAAAGCATCAAACAAATCAAAGACAACATACTGAACTCAGTTTTTTCAAAAAACTAATTCATTCACAGAATACAGGCATCACTGACGTTGCCAGCATTTATTGTCCATCCCTATTTTCCCTCAGAAAGGTGCTGCTTTCTTGAACCACTGCAGTCCACGTCCTGTAGATAAACCCACAACACCATGAAGGAGGGACTGCCAAGATTTTGACCCAGTGATATTAAAGGAATGGCAACATGTCAGGATGGCGAGTCGCTTGGAGGGAAACTTGCAGGTGATGCAAGCAGTCAGGAAGGTAAATGGTAGGTTGGCCTTCATAATGAGCGGATTTGAGTACAGGAGCAGTGATATCTTTCTGCAATTATACAGGGTATCGTAAGACCATACATGAAATGTTGCGTGCAGTTTTGGTCTCCTTATCTGAGAAAGGATGTTATTGTAACAGAGGGAGTGCAGTGAAGGTTTACCAAAACAGAAGGCTGGGACGGTTTCAGAGCAGCGAGCTGAAGGGCCAAATAGAGGTCGTTATTTTAGATCTAATATTGTGATGAAAAGGGTTATTTAATAATCCTGCTGTAAAAAGAGTTGTGGCTGAATGAACATTATGATAGAATTTTACATGACTAAAAGTGAGATAGTTCATTGTAAAGCAAAGGTGTTACATTTGAATAGGAAAAATTATGAAAATAAATGAGCTGCATTGGTTGAGCTAATTGGGAAAATACATTAATAGGCACAACTTTACATAAATGGACAGTGTTTAAATAACTGTTAAATGGTTTACAACACTGATAGCAACACTCCTTCAAGGTGCAATAACTAAATAAAAGGTCAGTCAAGGATGTTAAGGGCTGGAGAAAATTTAAAAAAAGCTTATAAAGTTGCCAAAAAGTCAAATATATGAGGATAGGGAAATTTTAGAATATAGCAAAGGAGGACCAAGAAATTGATAAGGAAAGGAAAAGTAGGATACTAATGCAATCTAGCAAAAAACATAAAAATGGATTGTGAATGCTTTTACAAATATGTATAATGGGAATGTTTGGCTCAAACAAAAGTGGGACCATTAAAAACATAATAAAAAGAATTTATAGTGGAAATAAATGGCAGGGATAGGTGATGCATTGGTAATCATTGTCCAAAACTTCATAGATTATATGCAAATAGTTTGGCTTGGTTTATTCAATTTTGTTTTCATTTCCTTTGCATGATAAGCTTCAGTTTTATTGTTAAAACCAAAGCTGCAGCTTTGCTTGTTTGTGTTTCAGTGAAAGACCCTAATTTATCAAGCTGAATGTCAGTCTGGAATCTGACTTATCCAATAATAACACTGGCTGGGATCATACTGAGATGCGCATCAAACAATGTTTAGTTACTTTTAGTTTATACATTACACAATTCTCAAGCTTCATATTTATCATGACCAATATTTCTTCTAGACTGTGCAGCTGCTTTGTGGGCCCACGCACACCACTGCTTGCTGATACGCTTCTTCAGCCACTGCTGATCACAGACCTCAGAGGTCCACGCAGCGTCTGGAGAAATTAGAGCGACATTAAGTCACGACATTCCTTTACCACTTTACCATGGCCGCTGAAAATATGTATTTATTTTTAAAAAGGTATCGGTCTCTATGGGGATCATGTCATGAGTAAGAGCAATAACAGTTCAGTTGATTTAAAGTCTTGTCACATATCATAATAGATAAGAATCAAATTCCTTCTCATGATTTCAGGTGGAAAGAGAACTCAGAGACACCATCGAAGAGGAGGACTGAGTTTGACTATAGAACCATCAATGATCAAAGCATGCAGTAAAATAGAAAGGTCCCTCAGATAGAGAGATAGATGAGTGAACCAATATGCCAGGAAGAATAGACTTTAAGTGCTGTTAGCTAATATTGTTGAGAATGAAAAATTAAAAGAAGTGGAAATAAACTGTAAAAACTTATCTAAATGTAACAAAAAATCTCAGCTCAGATAGTTGACATCAAAAGACATTACTGCTGAGTTAAAATGCAAATTGGGGGATTGTTTGAGTGCCAACATGTAATCATTATATAGACAAAATTAAAATATCATAAGATGCAGGAGTAGAATTGTGGCATTTGGCCCATTCAATGAGATCACGGCTGATCTGATTATCCTTAACTCCACTTTCCTGCCTTTTCAATCAAAGAGATGCTACGTACATTAGCAGTGGTTGCAACAGAAGTTTGCAGTAACAAGGAAATTATTTTCAGCATCATGCACAGCCTTAGGTATTAATCTTGCATACCTTGGGAGCACTGATCCAAAAGTTTTGGGAAAAATAACCTGGAAAGAGAATACTTATGTTAAAGTTTCAAAAAACAGATATTTAGACAAAAAAAATGATATGCTGCTCAGTGAAATGTCATACAAATAAATCTTTATTTTGCTAAAAAAAAGCTCTGTTGTCTCTACAACTTGCAAGTTTGAGGTTTTTACATTTTGATCAAGTTCACATTCCATCCTTTGCTATCATTCACTTTACTGTATTACAAGCAACCTTAATACCAGTGTCACATGACTGTATAACTCATACGGAAGCAGTGAAACTTTTCGAAGTCTTGCAATAATTACAAGCTTCCTTTTTATTTCAAAACAATAATGATACAAAATTCTTCAACATAAAAAAATAAAACTTTACACCAAGAATCTTCGTCCTGGGAGACAAAAACAATTAAAGGCAGTTTGTTGAAGTAGAATTGCTCCCAATTGCAACTTTAACTAATGCAGATGAAGTTTTTTCAAAAACTGATAATGTTGCTGTCTCGTCACACAGTTAAGAGAAATTAACACATCTTACCAAAAGATCCAGCATGAACTAAATTAAGAAATACTAACAAGAAAACAAAACACACTTTCACTTGTAAAGTGAAAGAGCTACAACAATCTGCAAAATCTATGAAGGCAATGTATGTAGGCAAGGAACAAAAAAAAAAAAATCAAAGAATCTGTGTGGAAGCAGGCCATTTGGCCCATGGAGTCCTCACCGACCCTCCTGTAACCCAAGATCTTCTTCCTCACTGTCAACCACCCAGCCAATCTTTGTCATTCATAAACTTATCACCCCTCCAGCCCCAACTAGCCAAGCTACCCTGAATCCCATGTGTATTTACACTTTATTTTTAAGCAGTCTCCCATTTGGGATCTTGAAGGCCTTACTGAAATCCATATAAACTATCTCAACCACATTACATTAAAGGATTTGGCTCAGTTGGCAAGATCCGTGACCCTCTATTAAGAAGGAACTGCTGAGTTTGAATAAAATGTTCAGTTGAGGACCTGTTTATCAAGAGGTGAGAAAAACAAATTTGAAGTGGTGCAAGAAATTCTATCAATCCCAATACTTCTCCTTCTGCAACACTATCAGAAACAAATCAATTGTCATTGTCCAACCTGGGTTTGCACAAATTGTTGGCACAATACTAAGGAATGCAAGGATAAGGAAAGAAAGAACTTGGATATTATATGGTGTTTTTCATGACTATCAGATGTCTCAAAGCACTTTATAGCCAATGAACACTTCTGGACATGCAGTCGCTGCTGTATTCCACGAAATACTGCAACTAAATTGGGCACAACAAACTTCCTCAAACAACAATGTTCTAACGAGGAACAATTTTATTTTTTGGCTACGTTAATTGGAGATCATTGTTGGCTATGACACCAGGAATATCGTTCTTGCTATTCTTTGAGTTAGTGACCTAGGACGTTTCACATCCCAGCATTTTGTGACTCAAAGGCAAGGATGCTACTAAAAGAAACTTAATATAGAACTATGTCTAAAGTTGTGTCACAAAGGTGACATCTGACATAAGTCAACATTATGCAGTAAGAACGGAGTTTTAGATCAGTAATTGATTGATTGTTGTCACATGTACTGAGATACAGTAAAAAGTGTTGTGTTTTTATATACAGACAGATCGTTCCATACAAAATGAGTCAGGGTAGCAGAACAGGGTGCAGAATAGTGTTACAGCTGCAGAGAGAGAGAGAGATCAGAATTAACATTAGAGAGCCCACTCAAAAGTCTGATAACTGGGGAAGATGATGTTCTTGAATCTGTTCATACGTGTATTCAAACTTTCATACCTTCTGCCTGACAAAAGGGGATGGAAGAGAGTATAACCAGGGTGGGAGGGGTCTTTGATTATGTTAGTTGCTTTCCCCGAGGAAGCAGGAAGTACAGATGGAGTCAACAGATGGAAGGCTGGTTTACATGATGGACTGTGCGGCATTCATGACACACTGTAGTTTCGGCCTTGGGAAGAGCAGTTGCTATACCATGCTCTGTTGCATCCAGATGGGACTGAAGCAGCATAGAGGTCAAGGGAGAGAATTCTAAAGGTAACATCCATAGAACTAAAGGTATGGACTCAAATGATGAGGCAAAGTGATTTTCAGATGCACAAGAAAAAAGATTTTAAGTACTGTAGTCATTATGAAGTTGAGAAGTGGATTACATGAGATTGAAGATGGATCAGACCCGAATATGACCGAAGAATTTTGAATTGGAGATACATGTCGAACTTGATTCACTGTTTTCTGATAATGTCATTAAGAGGCAGCACTTGAATGAGGAAAGGAGGTAATCGAAGGTCGATCCTTGAGGAACACCAGAGGTGTGTGGCAGGAAGGAAACTACTGCTCAAGATGCTCTAGTTATTGTAGACTCAGCTTGAAAAAGATTACACTGGGAAATGTTTTGGGGACATCCTTAAAATGTGAGAAGGCTGCTATAAAAGTAAGTCTATTCTTCCTTACAAAATGTTTCAATTATTAACAGTACTGGGTGTGCAATAGTCTCTTCCTGCCCTGCAGACTTTTAAAAGTATATGGCAATAATACTGGGTTTGACAGTCCAGAATCATCTGCATCCTGAACAGAATAAACGTTCTTCTCAAAAAGGCGAGAATTTAAGACAGTTTCAGTCACAAAACTGTTATGGTGCAGAGGAGCTGACTAGACCACAGGCAACACAAGATCTTGTATTGTGCAATGAGATAGGAGTAATGAATGATCTCAATGTGAAGGCAGCCCGAGATAGCAGTACCTCAGTACAAGTGAATTTTACATTCATTTGGGGGAAAATGTGAATTTTTAAAAAAAATTTCAAAAAAAAAAAAAAACAGAAATCACTAGGTCATGAAATTAGAGCTGACAAATTAAATGGAAAGATATAGAGCCAGACAGTACCAGTTCTTCAAATGAGCAGCTTTATCTAGTGCCAATCTCCTGCCTTTTCCCCATACCCTTGCACGCTATTTCTGTCCAAATAATCATCCAATACTCTCTTGAATGCCAGTTTCCAGTCAACCTGGTCAGTTACTGAAATGCAGAAATCTTTCAACAATTTCTGATACTAAAAACAAAATTTGGCAATAATTGAATACATCAATAATACCTAGCATAAATAAAACAATTATATTTCAAGACATCAGTTTCACCAAATGATTTAATTGGAAACAATTCAAATTTATACTTCATCTTCAAAGCCATAAAAGTCAATCCAGAAGGAGATGGCTTGCTGGTAAAAGTTGTTTTTGTTCATAGTTACAGCTACATAAGTTTCTGCAGTTCATGGTGTGTACGTAGATTTTAAATATTTGAAGTGATAGTGATAGCAATTTTAGATTTCACTACTGCAGGAAACAATGGTTTCACACATCTGCAAACTAATATATATACAAACTGAGGAAAAATTAATTTGGAGGTGCAATGCTATAGAAAGCAGCAAGAAGTGAACAACTGCAAACTGAAGATAAGGAAGGAGGGAACAAAAGAGTTTAATAACTGAAATAATAACAGCGTGAAATTATATAACACTTTGAATAAGATGCTGAACTAATTAGAAAACCAGGCTTGATGAGTGGTTTACTGGAAACAGAAGATATTAGATGAGTTCAGCATTTTACTTGTTCCTTGAACATCACACAAAACAGTAGCTTCCCACAATGATACCTCCCCAGTGTTTAAGAAATTAATCTAAATTGTGTCTGTGCAGTGGAGAGTATCTCTTATTGGCAGCCCAGTGACCCCTGCTGGAAAGTAAGTGTATGGATGTCTTAGGTATACAGAATATAAGAGCAAGAGCAGTCCATTCAGCCCATCAAGCCTTTCCAAGTGATCATAACTGATCCTCTATCTCAGTGCCGTACTCCTGCCGTCTATCCATGCCCCTTTACACCTTTGGTCTCCAGAAATCCATTTTAATCTGCATATAGACTGGAAAAGTCAGAGGGGGAAACGTAGCCGACATGAGGAGTTCAAAGAATATTTCTGGGACAGTTTCTGAGAACAGCGTATTCTGGAGTTGACCAGAGAGCAGGCAATACAAGACATGGTATTGGGCAATGAGATGGGATTAATAAATGATATCAATATGAAGGCAGTCAAAGATAGCAGCAACCATAATACGATTTGATTTCACTCACGTTGAGGGACAGAAGCGCTTGACATTTTCATTTTTAATTTTATGAAATTATGTGGGCATGACATTATAGCTGGCTACAGTGAATTGGCAAATTAGGTTGAAAGATATAGAGAAAGTGGCAGATATTTAAGAAAATACAGAATAGATAGAGATGTAATAGAGATGTCCAGCATGGAAAAAGACCCTCTGGTCCAGCTCCTCCATGCTGACCAGATATCCTAAATTAATCTAGTCCCATTTGTCAGCATTTGGCCCATATCCCACTAAACTCTTCCTATTCATATACTCATCCAGATGCCTTTTAAATGTTGCAATTGTACCAGCCTCCACCACTTCCACCAGCAGCTCATTCCATACACGCATCACCCTCTGTGTGAAAAAGTTGCCCCTCAGGTCCCTTTTCCTCTGTCACCTTAAACCTCTGGCCTCTAATTTTGGACTCCCCTACTGTGGGGAGAAAACCTTGACTATTCACCCTATCCATGTCCTTCATGATTTTATAAACGTCTATAAGGTCACTCCTTGACTTCCAAAGCTCCATGGAAAATAGCCCCAGCCTATTCAGCCTCAAAACCTCCCACTCTGGCAACTTCCTTCTAAATCTTTTTTGAACCCTTTCAAATTTAATAACATCTTTCCTATAGCAGGGAAACCAGAATTGAACACAGTATTCCAAATGTGGCTTAACCAATGTCCTGTACAGCCACAACATGACCTCCCAACTCCAATATTCAACATAGCAACCAATAAATGCCTTCTTCATTACCCTGTCTACCTGCAACTCCACTCAAGGAACTACAAACCCACATCTTAAGGTGTCTTTGTCTGGCAACATTCCCCAGGACCTTGCCATTAA